GTGAAATCAGCCAACGAGCGCATGGGGCAGTCTGGGGAGACCAGATGCTGCTTACATTTGTCTCTCCCAGGGGAGGCATCTGGACAGTGATTATTGCTCCCGGGCAACGATGTGTGACAACATGCACCAAGTATTGCCCACCAGGGGGGCTCACCCGAGCCCTGAGTCTAGGGTTTTTATTGGGGTTTGGTCATGGACACATGGCTGACTGCCTGAGTGGCTGACCTCAGGCTCAAGCCCCTCTAGAGGTCAAGTCCAAGGCCCCCACTATAAATCGGCTGTTAGCATAGATTGTACAGAGTGGCCCAAGCCCCCAGGTGAAGGAAGTCACTCTTATCAGGCAGGACATTCCAAGGGCTTGGAGGCGCTTTCCCAGGAGTCAGGATAGAGCCAAATGTTTCTTTGGAATGTGCAGGATTTGGACAAACCAGACCTGCTGAGTTAATCCTTTACTGCAAACCTGGAATCTTTCACCCTCAGTTTCCATGTCTATGATATAAGGAAGATAATGGTCACTGTCTCAGCAATGAACCTCACTCAGTCAGAGGGCCCCACACCAACTCTAGTACCACTAGCCCTTCTCTTTAGCATGCCCTCCGTGCTCTGGAAATAATAATAGTAATAGTAGCAGTTGTCACTCAATAAACACTGGCCTTGCACCAGGCACTGTGCTACACGCTTCATGCAGATTAACCCATTAAATACTCATAGCAACTTTGTAGGGTCAGTGTAGCTATTCTCCCCACCTTTGAGGATGGGAGCAGCTCTCATCCTCAGACACAGCACAGAGAAGTTCAGACACTTTCCCTAAGTCACACAGCTGGTGCATACATTCACATAGCTAGTAAGAGGAAGAACCTGGCTTTGTATCCCTAGAGTCTGGCTCCAGGGTCCAGGAACACTTAACTGTCCAGACATTGGGCCTCTGCGCTGAAGGCAACACTGGTTGTGCTATTGTTCACAGAGTCTTGGCCAGTCCAACAGGGCAGGACTGGGGCCAGTCTCAGTCCCCTCTCTCTCCTCAAGGCTAATAGGACATGAGGCACACACTAGGTGCTCAGTAAATGCTGTTCAATGAACAAAAGTCTATGCAAGAAAAGCTTCTGTGCCCTCTTTAGAAAGAAACCCCAATATCAGAAATCTAAGTTTTCTCTTTAAGAATGGAAGTCAGCTTCTAATTAGACAAGTGCTTGCCATCTCTGGGAAAGTCTCAAGGCAAATACATTTTGCTGTATTTTCTTTTCTCTTATTCCTGCCTCTCAAGGAGAAAAAGATCAGAACTTACCTAATACCATAGAAACATGTAAGGTATTGGTTTTTAACCCATTGCTCCTATTACGATTTTGTTCTTCTTTTTGGGGGGAGATGTAATTGACATATGACATTATGTTAATTTCAGGTGTACAGTACAATGATTTGATATTTATACATAGTGAAATGATTACCATGTTAAGTCTAGTTAACATCTGATGACTTTTATCTTTATGTTAGTTTCTCGACTGGTGTCGTCAATTAGAATTTTCTATGATGATTGAGACATCCTTGATCTGCATCACCCAATGGAGTAGGCAGTAGCCTCATGTGGCTTTCGGGTACTGAAATATGACCAGTGTGACTGACCAACTGAATTTTTATATATTTAAAAATATTAATTTAAATGTAAATAATTACATGTGGCTGGAGGCTACTGTATTGGACAGAGCAGTTCCAGATGGAAACATCTGCTGAGACCAATGAAATCATAAAGTCATAGTAGATATAAAAATTAACAATGGTTGAAAAAAATGTAACTCATTCAGCGATAAGCTGACTAGGCTTTTTTGTAACATTTATTGAATTTCTTTTTGATTTAAGATGCTTTATGTATAATTTCAGGATTAGGGAAGCAATTTTCTTGTTCTTTCTGGACTCGACTCAACCTTTTTTCTTTCTTTTTTAAAAATAGAATTGGGTTTGATTTTTGTTTTCCTTTAAAAGCTAAGAACTGTGTATTGCTTTTTAACCGGTTTTGTAGGAGGAAGTTAGGTTATGGCAGAATGATTTGTGAAGAGATCCGTGCTCAAACCATAGTCCAATCTGGGTTCTGCAGCTTGGAGTCAGCTCTGACAGAGACTGGCTGAAAGAGCATAGCCGCCTGCCTGGTAGAGGGGGTCTTAGCTGATCGCTGCTTATCTCCCTACCCCATTAAAGGTCTTTCGTGCAATAATAAAGAGGCCAGACTGGCTGAAGCCAAGGCAGACAAGAGGGATGGAAGATGAGGTCCAAGGGCCTGATCACCCAGTGCGTAGCCATGGCATGAACTCTGGATTTGACTTGAAGTGTGATCGCAAGTTCTGGGAAGGGTTTTTAAGTGGGGTGGGGGTGATCTGATTGGAGTTTTAAAAATGTCTCCCCATGTGGGGACAGACAAGAGGGCTCAGGAGGAGACAGGGAGCCCAGTAAGGAGGCAGCCACAATAACCCAAATAAGAGATGGCAGGGAAGCTTTGACCAGGATAGTGGTCATGGGCGTGGGGAGAAGAGGTCAGATTCTGGACTCCTTTTGAAGATCGTTGCTAGGATGTGGGGATGGATTGCATGTGCAGAGTGAAGAAAGAGAAGAACCAAGAGCCAGTCTGAGCTCTGGAGTGGATGGTGGAGTCAGAAGAGGCAGGTTAGAATCAAGGTGGGTATTTAGAATCAAGGGTGGCTTTGGGCCATCAATCTCAGGCGACATGTGAGCTGTCCAAGGGGCCATACTGTTGCTGAAGCAGTTAAATAGGTAGGTCTAGAGCCTCGGGATACAGACCTAGGAGTTATCAACTTAGAGATGCTGAAGGCCGTGTGACTAAATGAGATGCCCTTCGCAGAGCCTAAAGACAGGAGAGAGGAGAAGAGCGGGCCAGAACAGAATCTGCGATGCAGTGACATTTAGAGGTGGAGCAGAGGGCGAGGGGCAGGCAGAAGAGACTGCAGAGGAGAGGCCTGGGAGCAAGGAGGAAAGTCAGGATCCTCCAGGGTGACAGAGGCCAAGAGAGACCCATGATCCAGAAAGGGTCGGCATTACTGTACTGATTGCTGCTGAGAACTCAAGTAAGATAGTAGTGATGGCTGGGATTTGACACATGCCAGGCATCACTGCAAGTTCTGAGCATGAATAATCTCCTTGTAGCCTCACCACAACTATTAGCTAGACATTATTATTCCCATTTTGCAGACAAGGAAATTGAGACTAAAATGCTAGGGGGAAGTCCCTTGCCCAGGATCCCACAGCTAGAAAGAGACAAAGACCGGATTCAGACCTAGACTGTATTCCCTGAACTTGCACTCCAGAGAAGAGGCCAGTGGTTACGCTGCACACTCGCACCCTGGTGCACTCAGTTATTCAGGATGTATTGCGCTTTTGCCCAGGCCAGACGCCATTCAGAGCACCGAGGGATGCAAAAGTGAACGGAAACAATAGCCTTGGGGGGCTTACCTTTTAGGAAGGGTAGACAGGCAACAAGCAAACCAATAAATAAAGATGTAACGTGCTTCACAGAGGTGTCATGGCTGTAAGTGTAGAGAGAGCCAGGGTGTCTGTGCCGCTGAGTACAAACTCGTACTGCTTGCCACACGACAGGCCAATAAATCTAGAGATGACTTGTTAGGGCAAGGAATAGCAACTTTATTCAGAGAGCCAGCTGACTGAGAAGATGGTGGACTAGTGTCCCAAAGAAACATCTTGCCCGGGTCTGGATGCCAGTTTCTTTTATAGAACAAAGACAGGGGAGATGAGGAGGTAAAGTGAAAAAGGCAGTGAGCTGTTGCAAATATTTCCTGGTTCTGGCCAGACTCCAGAGGGGATGTGTAAATTTGTTTCCTGCAGCCATGCATAGGTGGGCCTGGTCAGGGTGTTTCCTGTGAGCTAAACAAAGGCATTTTAGCTTAAGGCTCAGGCATGGGAGGCAGGGTTCCCAGAGATGAGCCCTCACGTATAATTTAAGCTTATTGGCAACATCCCTTTGGTGATTAACTTGTAGCAAAAGCAATAGAATACAAATGTTAAAGTAAAAGAAACAGATCCAATATGGAGTCAGATTTGTTCTTCCTTATTACATTTGCTTAGGTGGGGTGGTCAGAGAACTTTTATGAGCTTGTGGTCTTTAAGCAGGGATGATAATTATAGTATAACAAACACTTAGCACTTACTATTTGTCCAGTGAGTTTTGTAGGATAATGGTAATATTTGTGCCGGGCAGTGTTTCTCAATGTTTTAATTCATTTCATTCTTCCAATCACAGACATAGTCTCATCATCATCATTTTGTGAATGAGATGAAGGTCAGGGCAGTTGCCAGAAGCCACACAGCCAGGAAGTGGGGGCTCCGGGCGGTTTCAGTTCCCAGAAGGGAAAACTGGGAAACAAGGAGGTTAAGGAGGAAACTGAGGCACAGGGAGCTGAAGTCACAAGGTTAGAAAGTGGTGCGGCCAGGACTCAAACCTAGGCAGTCTGCCTGCACAGTCTATGCGTTATACTCCTAGCCCAGTGGCTCTCTTACTTGAACATGCGTGGGAATCCCCCGGAGGGCAGATTGCTGGGCCCCTTCCCCGGAATTTCTGACTCAGCAGGACTGCGGTGGGGCTGAGAATATCCATTTCTATCAAAGTCCCAGCAAGTTTGCTGACGCTGGTGGTCCGGGGTCTACCCTTTGAGAACCATGCCCTAGGCTGCCTCTCAGCGCGTGAAGGAATGAATACTCAGTTCCCAGTAGAGGAAACTGAGGCTCAGAGAGGTGGTCTAGTAGGCAAAAATCACAGTTATTAGGTGGTGGTGTCAGGATGGTAAAACCAGGTAATCTGCCTCCTGGATCCGCATTTTTAACCATTCCCCTGCACCGCCTCCTGCGGGTCAAAGGAATCAATGCACGCACGTCTGAAGGAATGGATGGATTCGCGTTGCCCTAGATGGGGGCAAATCGCGGGCGGGGCGACCTCCGGCGTCTGCTGACCGCTGTCCCTGCCTCCCCGTCTCCGCCCGCAGGTGAAGCTGGTGTTCGTGGAGGACCAGGCAGTGGTGGAGACCGTGTTCTTTCTGACGTCGCGCACGCGGGCGCTGCTGCGG